AGTAGTCCTTGGTATGCGTCGGTCTTCTTATCCATCTGCACAGAGGACCAGCCTCTAGATATCCAGGGTCACTGGTATGTTCTGGGAGTATCGTGTGGCTGCAACTTCCTGGCGCGTTTTTTATGGAACCTGGATGGCTACGTTTCGATGGTTCTCCACAGATATCCAGGCCTGACCTTTATATCCTTTTGCAAGCTTTTCTGCATGGCTTTTACGGCAATCTCTATCTGGACTCCATCGACTTCCTGCCACAAAAGCCCTCGGTACTCTTCAATCTGGTGCAGCATCGACTCTGCAACATTCCAAAACTGCGTCACATTCCGCAGCTCGTCTTCCATTGTAACAAGATTCTGGCGTGATGTACTTAGCAGCTCAGGGAAGTCAAAAGAGGCGGCTGGAACTTGCAATGCCTGAAGCGCGTTCACATGGGTAGAATTTCGAAAGTTAGTCAAGGATTTGGACATAGAATGTTTGTTGATGCGAAAGCGGCGTTGTAGCTTTTCAGCAAAANAAAGTTAGTCAAGGATTTGGACATAGAATGTTTGTTGATGCGAAAGCGGCGTTGTAGCTTTTCAGCAAAAATTGCATCCTTTTCTTATTGGTCCTCACCTCCATCGTGCGGAGCAGTTCATTGGTGCGTTCTGAGGTCTCCTTTATTCTTGCTCTTGCCTCTGTTGGGGATGTGCTGAACGAGTAGAAGCACTCTCCCGCTAACGTCTGGTGGAGGGCGTTGACAGACGTATCTAGCTCTTCTATAGCCTTTCTCGTCCTCGCCGCTTCGGCGTCAAATGCGTCTGCCATTTCATGGCATCGTTTCTCTGCAGAGGCCCTATGTGCACCAGATGCAGCCCTTCGTATACGCATAGACGTGGATTGGAAGAATGTGCGCAAACTGGTAGTTCGCTACTCCATTCAACTGTGATGGAGTGTGGAGACCTGCATCTGATATGTGCTTAGAATCATGCCCGTTATTTTTTGATTACGTACTCGAGGGCAGCTCTTTTTTCGCCTATCTTTTTAAGTGCCCTGTTGCTTGAATCGACATTGGCGCCTAGCTCCTGCAACTTCTGCAAAGCAACCTGTAAGACTTCTATGTAGAGCTCATGTTCAGTCCTCAGCGTTTCCACATTTTTGATGTGCTGCCGGACGTCTAGAAGGCTGCGGCGGTCATCATGCTTTACTTTCGCCTGAACGATCTCACGCTCATTCTGCAGATGGAAGATTGTCCTATCCAATGTAGGACAACCCCTAGGTGTTTTATGATAAGCGCGATACTCAGAGAAAGCCCTGCCTCTCTGGTTTTCGTCCTTGCAAATATTTTGTAACACGTCGCACGACTTGCCTGAAGCCCTGCCTCCGTACGAAGACAGAATTTTTCCAGCAAGTTCATTGTATTAGCAATAAAGGTGGTAACTGTAGGTCCAGCAAAGTCATTTGCTCTTGGTCGTGGCTTTTCAAGGAACGTGGCAGTGTAAGGCGAGCCCCGGATTTCTTGAGGAGGTGTGCCGTCCTGTGCGTCAAGTAGAACTGATACAGAGACCCTCCCAGGCCGAGGAGCAGTGTATGTAGCCAAATATGTGCCATTTCCGTAGTCGGTAATGGATACTGGCAGGTACACGGGTGGCTCCACAGGCTTGGCCTCAGCTTCCTCCTCGTCGACTGGCTCCTGGGGCAACTGCTGCTGCTGAGAACGCATAAATCAAATAATGCTGGGTGTAGAATCCAATGACGCATTCCCTCAGAGTTCCCTGGTATAGGCTGTGAACGTTTATTTGCTGAAATGAGAGTAGCAAGCCAGTGGGCAGTTGGTGTAACTTGCCTCGGGGAGCATGAATGCTTTTACCTCAAACGTATCCCCGCCCGTGGTTCTCTTTCCATTTTGCGCATTCCTTGCCTCGATAAAGAAGGAAGTAGGCACACCAGGGGCTCCATCAGAAAGCAGCCCAGGCCCCACAGCAAGGCAGCACGAAGCGCAAGAATTAGCATAGAACTGAAATGAACAAAGAGAAGACGTCAAGTCTTTGGCTCCAATTTTGACGCGAACCTCGCATGTCCGTGGACCTGCAAAAGGATGAAGTGCGAGGCTCAGACAGGCTTAGCGTCAGTCAGATTGAGGGTTAAAGCGAGTCTGTGCAAAGTGTGAATCGCGATTCCTTCTCTGTATCCTTTTCAAGTAATATATCCACTACTGCTCAGAGGGCACAGTCACTAAGTTTTGTCTACAAATCTTCCAAAACATTCTTTGTACTGTCTCAACGAACACGCTATCAGACACAATGCTCATGGGACTTGAATTCTGCTGTTACTGGTGCTATGCCTGCTGTGTGGACTAACCGAGGGCAGCCTTGACGTTTGGGGTTACGGCATGAATTTCCGTTGACGATACGAAGGTGCCGGGGACGTCGGCGAAGAAATCTCCAACAGAAAATCGAACAGTGATAGACCCGGTTGTAAATCCGGCGCCTTTAAGTATTATTGGCGTGCCTCCAGTCATTGGGCCACAAGGTGGAGACAGGCCAAGGACAGCATACGGAGGGCCCACAACAGAGGAGACGCAACATGCCCAGAGGTCCCCAAGCCACTTCCCGCTCCTGNTGTTGGAAGTGGACTGCTTCTTCTGTAATGTAACCCACCAGCCACCAAAGACAACCAAAGTCGAGTCTTCGGCAAAATATGCCATTGTAGCGCCCTCTCGAGGAACGGGAATATCTGCATTTACTGACATCGCCTGCTGTGAGGCATTAGCAATGCTCCCTTGCGCCCTTCGTTTAAGTTGACTTGACCTTTCCACGGTCTCTCGTTGCTCCGCTGCGGCCGCCGCGGCCGAGACTGTCGTGATGAAGTCCCAGTGGCATTCCTCAGCGAGAGTTAGAACACCAACATCCGAGCAGAGCTGCGTCTGAAATCGCCTGGGATTTTCAGATGCTTCACACGATGCCCCTCCAAACACGAAAAACTTGGTACTCGGTCTAGCATGGACAAGCAACCCACACATGTTCCACCGCGCACCACCGCCGGGCCAAGGAGCGTCTACCTCACACCTGAAGTTGCAAATAGATATTAGCATTATGTATGGCGTTCGATTTAAATGATATAAAGGCAAGCAGTCTGTTATTCAGCCCGTGACACGGAGTAAAGTTAGAAATGTTCTCTGCATTGCACAGCCCGCTGCCAGCTAGTGAAGCACGCTGCTGCGATTTATAAGGGTGGCTAATTGTGGCTAGGTATCCGCAACCGTTTGTCTGATTATCCAATGCCTTGGTGTTTTGAATTGGAAGAGGGCAGACGCTGCACTACACGGAGTGCTGCCAAACCAATCATGGCTTTCCAAGTCGTAGGCAAATAGGTCGTTGTAATTCCCTTCACTGCTCCAACCTAGAAACAGAATCACTTCGCAAGGCTAGTGAAGGCCGTCTTCAACTATATCTCCTGGGCGCACACCTGGCTGCTCACCTTAAAGGCTGGCTCACTTATCGGGCTTATTCTGGTTTGGAATCTTACCGCCGAAGACAAACATCATGTTCCCCTTCACGACTGCTGAGTGTCCTTGCCTGCAAAAGCACAAGAGCTCCGCCCAGAGGCCATCGATTTGCTTGGACAAGCCTCGAACTATAAAGCAGTTTATTTTGCCTACATTTTGTAATTTCCTTAGCCCTCCAAGCAGTCTCACCGCGGGGCAGGCGATGTGCCTGTAAATGTGTGTTGCTGCCATGCCCAAGTATCGCAGTCCAAGGACCAAAGATCAGCTAGCGCAGTTCTCTCGTATTTCATTCCACCACATCCGCCAAAGACGATGACCTGCAGTCCAGTTGTTGTTGTAACTTCATGATCGTGAAACTCGGCATCTCCTTGTGAAAGCGATGATTCCCACAGGCATGCGGAGTGGCCACAACGCCCAACCGGCAGGCCTTGAGCTGAACAGTTAGAGAAGCCCTTACGCAATGTCTTACTTTCAGGAAGAAGTAACGTAGCATATGACGTGCATGCGCCCACTATTTCTGAGACAGTCTTTTCATGTTGCTGACTAAGGCACAAATTATTTAGCAACCACATATCTTTCTCGCTTAGTTCGACGAATTAGAATTACCAGAGGGCTTTCCGTCGACCTGCTCTAGACGGAGAAGCTGCTGCAGAGCCACCTGGAATCCTGAGCGCTCGACCTGGGTCACAGAAGCATATCACTAGGCGATAGTACTTTACCGTGCAGATGAGTCGGCTGGAACTAAATCTGCCATAGGAGTCTGCAAAGGGATGCATTCGTCGTGAAAATGCAAAGAACGCATTTATTACTTTAATGCTTCAAGTATGACTTTTCTAACTTAAATTCCAGGAAAGATATGCTGCCTTCTGACGCAACTCACCTTGTCGAGCGCGTCCGCGATAGCCGCCATAGCTGCATCGCTGCAGGAGCATCAACACGCCATATAAACAAATGAGAAAAGGCTGCGAGTGTCGCATTGCTATTGCATTTACATATTGCCCATAAGGCTTACGCGGTCGGCTGAGAATCCAAATCCCTGCAACAGGAGAGCAAGGCAAACGAAAGCAACTGGNGCAACTGGGTTCAAAATGACCAAGTTTGAGTCCGAAAGGCACCTGACGGCGCTGAGGTAGCCTTTTTCATCCAGATTCTTTAGAGTGCGTCGTATACGCAGATCCCCAACCGCATATAGCGTCAACTTTAGAGTGGCTTGAAGGTATTATTCTAGTTGTTTTCTCTGCCACTGGTGACCGTGCGCACGAAACGGCAAGGAGAGAAACATTGTACTATGGTAAGTGAGGGACTCAGCTAGCGTATGCTCGTGCTTGCCTACATCTGGCTTGCTGCAGCTTCTGCCTCCTGAAAAGAACAATGGACAAGCACAGACACGCCATAACTTCGTCCAGCCAGGTTTTTGGCCGTGCTCTCGCGAGCAAAACAAGGTGCCTTATCTGAAGCTGAGAGGAAGGCGAATTGGCGCAGTGAGTAGCAAACGATGTAAGGCTTGCCTCTCTTGTTTCAGTGGAGCCATGACTCGTCGTAGAAAATGAGACTTTCGAAAAGCTTTGGCTGTCTGCAGATAGTAGCAAGTGACATGTAGTAATTGATTGCTTGCGANCTTCAACGCAAATCTGTATACTGACAAAGTCTAAGCGGAACAGTACGTTCCGTAACATTCCGCTCATTATACAGAATGCTCACTCATGTCTAAAATCCAAGCTTCATTGGAACAAACGAAGGGCCTATAGCTAAGACATCCACCCCAAATTAAAAGCCGCGATCCGCCAATAGAAGTTGCAGAGTGGAAGCAGCGGCCTTGCGGCTGCAGAACTCCTGTCGGCTGCAATCTACACCATGAAGCTCGAGCTGCAAGAGTGCAAGAAACGGATTGAAAACAATACATCATGGATGTGCACGTCGCCGTATGTTTTTCCGTTCTCTCGAAAGTCAGGCTAGAGGGTTTCTTATGATCCAGCATCAGTTTTCAAGAGCTCCATTCAGTGGTAAAGAGTGGGATGCTGAGCGTTAATTTATAATGTTGGAGCAGCTGACGTGGATTTGGGGCTTCGGATGTTAGGGTCAACATATACGCATCATCTTTTGGAGGGGAACTTCCATCCTCGAGTTCCCCCGGCCCAATCCCCCCATAAACAACGAATGAGCCGTTGCATGCTGTAAGTGAATGCCCCCATCGGGGACTGGGTGCTCCTTCCGCAGTTAGGCGGTGCCACGCGCACCCGCGCGGCTGCGCGCAGAATAGTGCATGCAACATAAAAGGCTTGAAGGGATGCATAATGAAGAGCACAATCTCCCCCACATATCCACCTGGTTAATGACGTGACTCCAGCTAAAACTGGTGTAAGACTGTATCGGTAACCCTAGAAAAACGATTTCGGCAGAGATTTCGTAGAGGAGAAGCTCAGTGCACTGATCTGCTACTGCTTGAATCATGGAGAGTTCGACAGTGAACTAGTTTGTCAAGAAGAGTTGAAGGTAGATAACTAGAGGATGCTTCATTTGCTCCTGTTCCATAGCTCAGCTAACGCTTGGGCCTTCTGCCTGTAGGGATGATTTATCCCACCATTTCTGCCAGTCGTGCAGTGAACGAAAAAGGGCTCCACAGGCTTCCCGTCTCACTACACTGATGGTACACTGTCGGTTCTCTTTTGCATGTGAGGATTCCCCGAGTGTTGTCGATGGCCCCTAGGCATTGGTCAGGCAGGACAGCCAAGACGACANCGTCTCGCGTTTTTGCTCGTCGCTATCGGGAAACGAGGCTGCAGCTGTCAGGATAGTCTTATGTTTAGTGATTGCAAGCCGCGCTGCGAATTTTGGTGCAGTAGCATATATTCCTCTAGCAGATCGAGTTGTAGTCAGCCCCGACGGGAGACTGGTAGCCCCTCAACAGGCGTCGCCATGAACATGGTATACAACCGTTAAATTGCCAAGAAATTTGCAAATCCAAGGCATACTCCTACTTTTCTATGCCAGTCAGTCCCCTTTCAGAGAGATCCTGGTCTGGCTTCTGTTTGAACTTTCAGCGCAAGGCAATGGGACTGTGGAGCCATGCTCTCCCTCTCGGTGTGCTTCGTTTGAAGGAGCCATCCTATCCTATACTACATTTAAGAGTTTCATCCGCTTGCAAACAATATGGATGTCTCAAACTGCGGTGAATCAGAGGGCCGTGGCAAGCAGCTGTCCAGTGCCAGAAAGTGTGTAGGCGTATGTTTTTCCATAGTTGTGCAGGAGACAACTGGCGGATTTGGTGTTTCCTCCTTCCAGATTCCCCTTTATGGCTGTAAGTGAACTCCTGAAATTGCTTTCTTTCTTTGGCAGCATTTGCCTGCATGACCTTTTCGGCACTTAGGCGTCTATCCAGAGCTCAGCATCAACTTTTTGAACAAAAACAAACTCTTTGCGAAGGAAGGAACGCTATTTCAAGGATTCACTTACAGTCATCAAGGGAAATCTGCAGGAAGTAAACGCCAGATTCTCCAGGTGTTCCCGACACAACTATGGAAAAACGCACGCAACGAGATCCGGCGTCAGGTCGAACTGCTAGACGAATGCTTTCTGAATTAATGCTTGCGCGTACCTGGAGGGGGCAATCAAACAAAGTGACTTCATGTAATACATCAATATCCACTATTCAAACCGCTTATACTGGGCCACAAATGTTACCTTGAGAACGAGCCATGGGCCCATCCGGGCAACCGCCGCCCAAGGTCCAGCTAGGAATCCGGTGCGCATATGCCGCACGCTATGCCCATATTTGCAAGCCCAAAGTACTCACTCTGACTTTCAGGGATCACATCACATATGCATTTTAGGGCTGCGAATGACGTTCGAACTTTATGCGAGCCAGTCAGGCAATACATTGCATGCTGCTTTGGGTATGATCATTGCCAATGGAAACAGGAACTCAGAAAAATGCAACACGCGAGCTCAAGCACGCGTTCGTGGGTAGGCATGTACGTAGGTGTTGGTGTGTGTGTGTGTGTGTGTGTGTGTGTGTGTGTGTGTGTGTGTGTGTGTGTGTGTGTGTGTGTGTGTGTGTGTTGTGTTCGTGTGCGTTCACGTGTGTTCGTCGGTGTTCGTGTGTGTTCGTGTGTGTATGCAGTTGGGTGGTTGGGTGTGTGTGACTTCTTAGTCTCGTTTCCAGTAGTACCTGTTTCACCTCACTCGAGACCCTCGCCTTTTTCAGCTATCATGGGAATTGACATCCTCTTTTGCTTATCGCATTGATGGTGCAGCTGAGGAATACCTGCATTCGGGTGATTTGGCACAATCATACTGCATATGGAGCTATAGGCGTACCCACAAATATGTAGCGCTCCTCGGTTCATGTGTTCACGATGGTTGAAAACCGTTTCAGCCACTACCACATAACGACGCATGAAAGTGCAGCACAGTTTCACGAGTAGACACACTGCAGCAGAAACGTGAACAACCAAGCCAGATAGGTTTTTACCGCAGGGGAAAGCTACATCCCGGGTAAATTAGTCACAATGCTGGGATGGACAAGCCTTCAGGGGCCAAAATGGACCAGCGAAGTGGGTATAAAAAGCCATTGCACTTAATGGATACATGAGGGAGCTAGTA